TAGCTTAACTGAGCTTAGACCCAGCCTACGACACGGCAGCCCGGTGAACCCGAAACTCTTGAAGCCACCTCCTGCCCTCCAGCAGTAGACATGACAATTACAGTATTCCTGGTAACAATACTAGTAATAGCCGTACGAGCAATATTAAACAATAATAACAATAACAACAGCGATATTGATATGATCAGTCATGATAACACTGTCAGAAGTTTTTATGAACACTATTAGTACTGTTCGCATTATTTATATTGGCAGTACGAGTACGAATATCGCTATTGCCATTGTCATTGCGACTGTTATTGTTATTGTTGCTGTTACTGTTATTGTTGTGGCAACCGTAGCAAGGCGTCTTGTAGTAATATCAACAGGCATAGCAAGAACACTAGGAAGTAGTACGTAGTAGTCGTAAAGTTAGACATTAGTAACAGTGACAAACTCGTGAAAACATGACTCAATATGATTACTAAGCCTCCCAATCGAAATACAAATAATCACAAGAAGCAAAAGTATCATTACCGATACCAACAACTATACTCAGGCAATATGTCTCTGTCGGCATATATAGTAACAACAAAATGTAGGAAAATGATTAAGAAACCTTGGCGCTCTAACCCCCATATATAATAGGTTCCCTATGAGGAACCTAGTAATAGCCAAAGCTTTCAATCCCAGCTAAGGCTTGGCCGCGGTGGCCTTGGAGCTCGTGGCCTCAGTGGCAGTGGCCGCGGCGGCTTTGGTCGGGGAATGCGCCCTTGGCTCTACTTTGGGTTTAATTTGATAGTTATATACCTATACTATTTTGGGGTTCCTTATCATAATTACAGTATAGTATGCCCCAAAACCCTATTTTAATTGTTAAGGCCCCTACAGAAAGGGTTCAGAGATGCGAAGACGGTTTAGGGTTAGCAAAATGTAACTATCGTCTCCCCACATCTTCGCGTTCAGATGCTAACCTAAACTAAGAAGAAGCCACATGTGTTCGCTTTCGGGTGGCAGAAAATCGAAGAAAACATCGTTTTCTACAACAGCTCTTGCAAACAAAGAGGAGAAGCCACAGGTCTTCGCTTCCCGGGGGAACAAGCAAAGGTAGCAAAGATAGCGAATAAAGCCAAGAACCAGTGACAAATCCTCCTTTCTGCAACAAGGGCAAACGAGCGTGGACGTTTCATGAGCCGGAAGTCTGTAAGAACGAGTCTTTCAGCTCCAACAGAAGCTTTCCATGTCCCGTTCGTTCCTCGTAGGCAGTCCGATGCGCTTTGCCGATGTCAGTTGAAGCGCATATGCTTGCAGCCCGTCCTTTGGTCGAACGCACCCTTGATGGCAATCAGGTTCGGCGGCTGGGCCGGCGGCGCTCAGGCACTGTCTCCAGGCCGACAGTCCATGGACAGAGCGCACGCAACATTGCATGGAGTGCTGCGACATGACATGTGTCCTTGTCCGTCTTTACGGGCTTAAGGCAAAGCCCGAGCTGAACGGCATGAACTTTGGTGGATTTTAGTGATGTTCGTGTGGAGGCCGCAGTACACTATTCACCCAGCTGCGTTGGTCGGCTGTCAGGCTGTATAGCTGGTAAAGAATGGCTTCTTGTCTCCCATCCCTTTCCGCGAGACTCAGACGTGCCGCAGCAACATCGGGAACATTGCGGTTGTAAACCCCAAAGTGCATCAGCGCTGTATGTGCCACCTTCGTCGATGTCTGTGATGTAGCTGGGGAGTTGTTACTAGCGTCACCAGGACCTCGAAGCCCCAGAATCGAGTGCCACCTTGCAACACCAGCGTGCGAGATACCCAGGATCGGAAATTGCATATCCTTCGACAAGAACAAGGGAAGATGGCAGGTCCGCTTAGAAGATAGACCTGGCGCAGACTCTCGGCCTTCCTTAAACCCAACCTGAGAGTACTTCATTGTCCTGACTGTGATGAATAATGCGAATAATAGCAATAATGTCCATAGACATAGCTCCTATTTGTAAATATGTAGGCATACATATATATATATATATATATATATATATATGTGTGTGTAGGTGTGTAGTTATGTGTTTAAAAGTAATAGTATTAGTAATAATAACAGTAATAGTAGTAGTAGTAGTAGTAGCAGTAGCAGTAGCAGTAGCAGTAGCAGCAGCAGTAGCAGTAGCAGCAGCAGCAGCAGTAGCAGTAGCAGTAGCAGTAGCCGTAGCAGTAGCAGTAGCAGTAGCCGTAGCCGTACCAGTAGCAGTAGCAGTAGCAGTAGCAGTAGCAGTAGCAGCAGCAGTCGTAGTGGTAGTAGTAGTAGTAGTAGTAGTAGCAGTCGTCGTCGTCGGGACAATTCTAATAAGCACTTTGATTAGCATTTGTCGTGGTCGTCGCCGTATTCATAATTCATGGGTGGTATTTGTATGAAAGTATACTTGGGTATCACATTGCATTTCCCGGCCTAAACCTAAACTAGCCGAAAGCCGCATCTAAATCCTAAACCTTAGATTCTTAAACCCGGAGAACCTTTCGAGTATTGTGAGTTTATCAGGCGAGCGGCCTGCCCTATAGTCTGTTACAGCGACATTTGACACTGAAGGCATGCGGGAGACATCTAGTACGTGGGAAGTAGTGGTGTAGTGGTGGTGAGTCCCCGAAATGCTGGGTGTCAGAGGAGCTGTGGTCCCTCGACCAAGCTGGACGTCATGCGGTCACCAAAAGACACGAGGGTTCAACAACAACAAAAAACTAAACCCCTAAACCCTCAAACCCTTAAACCGGAACCCCTCGAATCCGAGGATATGCTCTTCAAGGAGGACAACTTGCAGCCTGTGAGTGTGGACGAGTACGAGGCAGCCCAGGCAGCTGCTGAGGGTATGGCCTTTTGGCTTTGACTTCGGAAAGGGTTTAGGGCTTATAGGCGAATAGGGGTTAGGATTTAAGAGAGAGGGTTCAGGGTAAAGGGGGGTAACGGGTAGGTTCGGGGTTTAGTAACGTTTAGTAATTTAGTGTTTACGAGATTGGTGCAACCCTTAGAACTGGGGTTTTGGTAGGATTTGTAACAAGGCACAAATTTCAAGCAAAAGTACTGGTTACTGGAGTCATTTCAGCTTTTCCATTCCACCCTTGTCGTTTGAAGTTGGCATGGACGATCGGACAGCCAAGGACTCACGACTGGCAGACAAGCTCCAGTGCCCTGCAGGGTATCCGATGGTGGTCGAAATCGCAGCCGAAGTTTACGCTTCTTGGAACGACCGCCCTGCGTGTTAAGAGTATGTGCTCTGTCTCTACATGATTTGCACCATGTCCTGGCTAAGGAGTGTGATGTGTGTGAAGCGGACATCGAAGTCAGCACCAAGTTCCTGTACTGTGAGCGGTCTGATTATGCAATTTGCGAGACGTGCGCCGTAGAAATGCTTCGAAGAGAAGCCCTCAAAGCTTGAGATGGCTGAGGTCCAACAAAATAGGCTCCAAGAGTCAGATGTAGCCTAACTGTAGACTTCCGGGTTCTGGGATCCATTTCAAGCATGCCCTTTGCCCTGTTTTGTTTCTGGGCAACAGAGTCCCTCCATCTCAGAGAGGTGCCCATGAAATGAGTTTCCTCTCCGAGCTGTGGACTACTGCATTTGCTGAGCGTGTTGTGCAGTCAAGGGTTTAGCAGTGAGACGTAGGAAGGCCCGTGATTCAGATGCGGCCAAGAAAGTGTCGCAGTTTTGGCTTTCAGTAGTGACGTCAGGGAAGCCCGCAGTGCTAGTTGTTGAGACACCCCCTGTGTTCGGCTTTATGTATGCTGGCATTGTGTTTCGAAGCGGGTTCCTTAGTGCGTTCCCGACGCCTGAAACGGCGTGAAGACTTTTAATGCCAAGCTTGCGCACCTGGCAGACCTCGTAGAAATGAGAGGCTTTGCAGGAGCTTGAGTCGCTCCGTGGTTGTCCCACTTGTAGCGATCGCAGCTGACCACAGCGCATCACAGCACTTCCTTTTGAGCAGCGCGAGCTGTACCCAGCTCTCGGCTGAGACTGTTATTACTATTATGATTGTTATTATTGCTATTTTTTTGTTATTGTTAATATTAATATTGTTATTATTAGCTTGGAACGACTGATTATGTACTAGCTGGAGCGAGTGGCCATGCGAACCCGAAGAGTTTGAGATGGCCTCGGAGTTCCTAGAGTCTAGCCCGTAAATCCTAAACCCTAACTGAAGCCATCTAAAACCCAAACCTTAAGCCCTAAACCCTATAAACCCTAAGCCTTGAAGTCTTGATAAGAAGTCCCCATCATCGTATCCTGCGAGGCGCCGCCGCCCCCGCCGTCAGAGCGAAAGTCTAGCCGAAGCCCTCGGAAGAAGAGCAGGAAGGGGTCCCGAAACCCTAAAGCCCCAAGGGACAGAGTCCGAGTTGCGAGAGCGTAATCCCGAAAAGAACCTTTTCGGGCGTTTGTTGGGCTTCGGACTAGTGTTGTTGGGCTTTCACGACCTTCAAGGTATGTTTGAAAGTCCCCTGTTGTCTCGACCTACTGGTACCCTGTGTTTGAAGCGTCTCCTGCCAATATTGTATGAGAATGCCTAAAATGTCCCTTCTCAGCTCGATGCTCTATTCAGAACTGCCTTTTGTGGACAGGCTTAGATGTGCAATAGACCATCGCAGTAGAAACTATGCTGGTGTTTTTCATTTTTTGGCACCAGGAGCAACAGCCACCGCACGCGCCGAAATCGGCGCCGGGGTGGCTGGGACGCAGAGGACACAGGGCGCCCATGTTGGCCTGTTGAAATTCGCGAAAGTATTCCCATGTAGTTTGAACAAAGTGGCCCCGCCGGCTGGAACCAAAGAGCAGATGCAGGAAGCACCCCCTTCAGCGGAATCGGCATTGGCGCTTATGCCTGGCACTGATGCAGGGGAGGCATATAAATCCACTGCATTGGGGCATCCTTGGCTTTGCTTGAAGTTTTTGCAGTAAGCCCAGCTTGCGCAACAAGACAAGGCAACAGCCATTTTTGCTCAAGGCTATAGTCTAGATTCGCTCCGTTGCGTCGGAGTGCCAGATGGCCCTAGCGTTGCCCGAGCTTGGCAGCAAACACGATGTGGCCTTAGTCTTGTTACACGTGGTGCTGTGGTGCCGCATGTTGGAGTCGGAAGCTGCGCCCCGGTGGCCGGAGTCTCTAGTTGTGGCTGTCTCGAGCGCTGTGATACCTACTCTGGCCTCAGCAGCCCTCCATGTGCCCAAGGACATCATCTACAGTGGTGCTGCCTTTCTCGCCCTATACTACTACGATTCTGTTCATCGCCGCAGCTTAACTGGTGGATCAGGGCTCTTAGAGCTGGACTTTGCTTTAACCAGCAACACCCTGCTTGCAGAGCTCATGCTCATGTGCACCGAGACCCGTCCATCAGTTCTGGCAGCATGGGTGACGACCGCTTCTGTTGCGCTGCTTGGCAGGACGAACATGCGGATGGAGTCCGCAATGCTGGTCTGGTGTGGCCTTTTCATGTACTTCCTATCCAGCACCAGCAACTCCAGCCAGAGCAAGTTTGAAGAAACCGAGTCGACGCAGCAACTCAGCCGATGCTTGGGGCTAGTGATGCGGCGCATCCGCGTTCCTTTGCAGCTGGCCCAGTCTGATCTCGACTCGGGGCCCAACCACACCGAGCGCGTGAGAGCGCGGCTACAGCAGATTTGGGAGCTGCTCTCCGGCTTGGACACAGAAGTCTCCAAGGAAGTCGAGGCCAAGGTTGCGAAGGAATTATGCCAAAACTCTGATGCTCTGAGCCCCTTTGAGCTTGACGTAAAGGCGAACCAGGACATTGTACAGCGTGAAGGCTCCCCGGAGTCCTCCACGACCCTTGGCTCTTGGACTTCCAACATGGAGCCCGGGCGATGGGAGTGCCTACCTGAAGAAATCTCCCTGAAGTTGACCGTGGACTTGGAGGGAGATTCCATGCCAGTGACCGAGGTGAAGCTTTGCATGGATGAGCAAGTTCACCTCGACAACTTTCTCCCATCGCAGAGTGACTGGGAAGAGTTCCGAAGCTGGTTCGAGCCCGAAGTCAACCGTGCCATTCATTTAGACGGCTACAGTCCGGACAGCACAGCGATCCCCCTGGTTTTACCGTTTCTGGGTGATTGGCACCGCTTCAATGCTGGCAAACTACAGATCGCCTTGGATCCAGATTCGGATCAGCATGCGTCTAGACTCACTGTGGAGGCCTCGCAGCTCACTGTGTACAATACGCACCGCCCGACGCTATGAGCGAATAAGCGGATTGTGAGACTGCGTACCGCCCTGGCAGAGCAAGCCAACGAGCATCCAATGAGCCAGTCTATGCATTAGTGGTATTGCTGCGAGTGCCAAGTCCAGCCCAAGCTTGAGTGCTAACGGCCGTGCAACGGTGGGACTGAGCCAATCCGGCCTTTTCAAATCCGCACGCATTACAGGCTCTACTTTTTACATGTCCTTTTCTGGTCCATCTAGACGGATCTGTACAGGCAAGGCGCAGGCAGACGGACAGCGTCTGAAGTTTGCAAGGTCTTTTGTTGCTGCAGGGCCTGGCAGCTAATGCTGCACTTTCGTTTGCGGGCTTGGCATGAACCCCTACGGATTTACAACAGTGAACCGATTTTCGAAGCTCGCCATGAGCGCTGTAAATCCGCATGGCAATCTGCTAGACAGACACCAGAATTCGCTCTCTACACTCAAAACAATATCAAGGAGATGTTCATTCGTCTCGGTTGTGGCCGTCCACTTGCCAATGCAAGCATACTGCTGCCAGCGGCGGTGCCCACGACAAGCAAGGCATCAAGCATGCAGCTACTATAGGGGCCTTAATCATTAACTATTCTGGGTGTTCCTCATTAAACATTGTAGTATACTAACATACCCCTAAAACCCCATTCTAATCATTAAGGCCCCTATAGGCAGAGAAGTCGCAGCTGGCGAGTTCTTTATTGACATCTCGGGTGTTCCTGGGAGTTTCCGCAAATAGGGGACCCTAATATAGTACCCTAAATTGTAGGATCTTTATTATAAGGACACCAATACAAGGTACCCCCAATTTTCGGAAGCTCCCGCCAGGAGAATTCAGAACATCCCAGCAGCCTTCTGATTCATGACAGGTTGTCTGGGTGCCCCGCTGTGGAAAACCAGCGGGTTTCCAAAGTTGGTGCTCCTGCGCATCTCGACTCAGACGCCTTGGACGTCCAAGGGCGACAGCTTGGTTAGCAGAAAAGCGTGTACTGCAGACGTGCAGAGCATTTCATCAGCTGCGAAGTGACTCAGTTGTCAAGCCACGCTAAACCGAAAGACATACCATATACTAGACTATAACTATGCCACTATGCCATGCTGTAATATGACATACTGTAATATATATATATATATATATATATATATATATATATATGTATAAGATTGAAGCCTAAGCATGGCTCACCCCAGAAGCTGCCGAGGCCCTCTCGGCCTGCGCTGCCGCCGGGCATGGCCGGTTGGGCTCTTACGGCCAAGGAATGTGGGAGTTTCCGAAAATTAGGGTGCCTTATTTTGGGGTACTTATAGTAAGGATCCTACTACATTAGGGTCTCCTATTTTCGGAAACTACCATGTTGGAGGGGTCCTAATGCTGTGGTATCCCAATATGGTCCCTGTATGAATATGCTGAAATCAATACAGCACACCCCCAGACCCTCATCCAGGCCCCCATATCAAGCACTGGCGGTGCAGGAGCTGCAAGGATGTGTAGAAAGCCTCCCGGTCTGAAAGTTTTGAAGACTGAGTTGAGATGCAGCTCCTCGTTTCTTGATATGGCTCCAAAGAGGACTCTTCCTTTAAATGTGGCCAGTGTTCAACTTAGCGTCTTGGCGCATCTTTTTGCCTAAAGATGCGCAAAGACGCTAAGTTGAACACTTTCCTGGCCGTCGCTTCAGTTTCAGGTATACGCGTCAGCTCCTTTTGGCCGTGTTGCTGCTCTTCGTCGGACCAGTCGTCGTGAAGCCTTTCCTGCCTTGCGAGGCTTGCGAGAGTCGAAAACCGCAACATGGCGCTATCGTTACAAGGGGCCCTTTGATACTGTGTAGCACCTACAATATCCCGTACAGTACCCCAAGAGGGGAAGCCCTTTCCTGTCAAAGTTCTCACGACGAGGTCCACCGAGACCGAGCGGGCCAGCCGGGCACTCGGTTGGAAGGGCTTCGGCCCTTGGGTACTGCCCCCACTCAGTAACCGTAGGATAATCTTTATCATATAGATATATGAGGCCCTTAATAGTAGCCCTATTATAGACTGCTACTGTATGGGGGCAGTACCCAAGCTTCGGCTTTCAAGCCACCGATCCCCTAAACCATCCTGAGGCCTATGGCATGAGAGTCCTTTAAAATGTCCTCCACCCATGTGGGTGGTTGTCAAAATTAGGGGCCCTTTTTGGTTCCTTATTACAGTACGGCACCTTATATTTAGGGTACCCAAAAAGGGACCCTAATTTTGACAACCACCCATGTATTTGCCTTCTTAGGCCTATAAGCCCGTAACATTAGACCCTGAAGCCCTGAAGTTGTAAAGCCCTGATGCCCAGGTCGCTGTGAATCGTCGGGGCATCCCGGAGGCGACACCAGAGGCCTGGCACCGGCTTCAGTTGCGCAGGCTTCAGGGTTTGCGTGACAAGAGGACTTGTGAGTGTTCGGACCCCAGAATTGCTATCCAGTGGTTTTGGGGTTCCCTTGGTTAGCTCCTTATTTAATAGGGATTATCATCATCCCTGGCTCCTTAGCTCCTCCAATATCAATGGTTAGATTGAAAATGCGAGCTTCAAGAGAAGGCTTACAAGCCAGCGTGTCCGATGTGCCGGTGTGCTTAGTGCTTCAGTAAAGTAAAGCCTGAGTCTTGAAGAGCGCAGATGAGGTTGCGTAATTTGGAGATGTGGGTTTTAAAAACCAGAAGAGGGGCAGACTCGGCCTCGGAAAGAGCTTGAGGTTCCTTGCTAGTCAGCCAGGGATGCATCAGCGCCTCTTCGGCTGTCATCCGCACCTCAGGGTCAACCTTCAGAAGCTTCGAGACGAAATTCTTGGCGTCGTCTGAAATCCGGCCCCAGCGATTCACGGGGAAAACGTATTGGCCCTTGAGAATGAGCCTGTAGGTCCGTCGGTCATCACGGCCCATGAAGGGAGCACGGCCATCGAGAAGAATGTAAGTCAAGACCCCCAAGGACGACATGTCACATTGCTGGTTGTACTTGCCTCGCAGAACCTCTGGTGCCACGTAGTAGGGGGTGCCACAGGAGTCGGTCATCGGAAGCGAATCGTCGAATGACGAGCTCAAGCCAAAGTCGATCATCTTGATCCTGGCATGCTCCGACTTGTCCTCCATGCAAAAGTTTTCCAACTTCAAGTCACGGTGGCACGCACCGTTGCGGTGGCAGTAAGCCACGAGGGTGTTTAAAAACCTTTTTTGTAACCTCTGATGATGTGGGGTGTTGGAACTTTGCGCCTGGTCTGGGGAGCAAGAAAATGAGCCCTGTCGAAGGCAGGATGAGGAGCGAAGGATGGCAAAGGATTGAACTATAGCAGTTTTGGCGGTTTAGGGTTTATATATATATATATATGTATATATGTATATGTATAGCTTGAGGTGTGTATATGTAATTAAACATGTATATATATACATACGTATATACATGTAAGTGACCCATATATATATATATATATACAAGGCTAAAGGGGAGTACTGTTAGAGTAGTTTATTCTGTATCTCGCAGCTCGCGCGTTGGGAGGCCCTGGCAGCGGCGGTCTTCCGAGCCCAGCAGGTAGAGAAGGCACCGAGTCGCACAAGCAGCTGACTAGGGTTTAGGGTTTAGGACTTGGTAACTAGGGTTCCTTAAAGGGTTTCTTAAAAAGAGAGCTATAAGGGCTCTATAAGAGGGTCTTAGGGCTTACTTAAAGGATCATGGGACTTAGGACTTAGTAAGGGTCCTTAAAGGGTTTCTTAAACAGTATGGTACGCCCTGGCGGCGTGTATTTTCGCGTGTTCATGTTTTCACCTGCGTTCGCAGATGGCAAGCTTAGCAAGCTTTTCACTTCCAACCACATTGTTTTAGATGCATACAAATACGACGTGTTGTGAATTGTTACTTTGAGTTTCTACGAAACCATTGACTTGACCGAATACTTGCCCGAGAGATAAAGTACAGGACAATCGCTCAAAAGAGATCCCGGAGGTGGAGGGCATGAGGGCACGGCCTTAAGGTGTGGCTGTGGGCATGGAGGCCTGGAGGCCTCTCGGGGGGGGGGGGGGGGTGCGCAAAAAAAAAAAAATGGTGGGCTGCTCTCTGGTAATTTTTTTTTTTTTTTTTTTTGCGCCCCCCCCCCCCCCCGCAGGCAGGACCTTATGGACGGAGATCCGGAGGTAAGCAGGGTATGTCTGGGGCCTTCGGCATTCCAGTTCGCGCACTACGCGATCATCTCAAGCTTTCCAGTGTGCCACCAATCCTATCCTATCAAATGAAACATCCCTCCATGAACAAGATTACGCGTGATATTCTTGTCCACCACTGGGAAAGCGGCTCCCACACCTGAAAACGGTGACATTACTTACGGATGACACTTATACATGACAAAAGTATGATGGGTACTACATTCTACACGTTAAAAAGTACGATGGGAATGACGTCCTTGTACCGCGACTCATGGTGACCTGGTCTCGACACCCTCAATTATGATGGTCCAAACCGTCTAAGAAGATGACGGGTGGCGCACCCACAACCCTACACTGAAAGTCATGATTGGCTTCCAACATTCCAAAACATCGTACAAAATGTTGGGCCCTCATCCGCAAGCTCGGACAATGAAAGATAAGTTGCAAGCCACAACATACTTGTGACATTTGGGGTGGAACATAGATGCTTACCTACAAGCCAACCTTGGTAGACAGATGTTAGTTTATACCTACATATATATATATATATATGTATATACGTGTATATACATGTTGATATATGTGTATAGGTTTGATATATACATGCAGACATACATACACACCTACATATGGATGTGTATGTGTACATACCCACATGCTCATGCCTTTCCAAAGCTTATAAACACATACATATATATGTATACTATATATACATACATGGGTACATACATACATATATATATATATGTATCACGGAAACATGTGCATTGTTTCCGGAATATACATGCAAACATATGTATATGCAACGGGTAGGCATTTAGGCAGCTACAAGCTCAAACAAGAAAATGGACGGCCTCAGGCTCCTATCCCAAATCCCGCAGCGGCATGGTGGGTGAAGGATGGCGAATATCAAGTCTGTGCGTAAGCACGGCCTCCATACCTGTACATATATACAGCTACATACACAAATATACGTTTAGACAGAAACACACGATGCACTGTGGAAGCTCATGCATACCTATACCATACGTATGCAAGTTCGTGCACTTTGGAAGCCCATGCATACATACACACAGATATGTGTGTATAAATACATGTCTTTATATATATATATATATATATATATATATATATGTCGAAGAATTTTGTGTGATGTACATGCGAGTACCTGTGTATGTAACAGGAGAGCCTAATGCAGTTACACTTTCAATCTAAACTGGAGCCTTGGAAGGGTATCATGGGCGGATGAGTTTAATTATATACATACATACATACATACATACACACACGACTTTCCGTGCATCACGGAGATAGGTAATTTAATCGTAATTGGGTGAATGATCGCGAACAAGAGGTCTTAAATAGAACGACTGAAAAACATGCCCAATTACACCGAAAGCCAATCCCTAAAAGGCGTGGCTCCCTGCCAGAACTGCAAATCACAATAGGGACACCGGAAAAAAGAAGGCCAGAGTCTGAAAATTTTGGCACATGTCACGGGCGACATTTGTCCAATAAAGATATATGGTCACTAGCAAACCCAAGTACCCAAAAGGATGATGTGTGTCCAGAGCATCCAAACTCTACTGGAAGATATTTGGCCGAAACCGAGGCCAGACAAGGATGTGATGGGCCAATGCCCCTGAGGAGTTCGACGAGTGGCGGAACCACAACTGGATCCTCAAATCGGTCACTGTTTTCCCAAATACACGCAGCTTAGGAGATGTTGCACTTTCAATCAAATGCTTCAATGAACTGAAGAAATGACGGGTGGCAAACCCAAAAACTCTTTCAAAGGTGGAAAGCCCCTTAAAGCTTGACCCCTGTCGGAATATAGATATCCCGTTCCCCACGACTTCAGATGCGGTATGCTGCAGCCTATGCCACAATTTCATTCCCCAGTGCAAGACATGATATATACAAGAAGTTGCAAGTCAACATTAGTATGCACATACAAATATGGGCCTGTAATGGGTCCTACTCTCTTTAGATATATGTATGTATCGTATGATTTTACATGCTCGTACAAAATTAGAATCAGAAAATGCGGATGTATAGTTGCATCCATGCAGGAGCACACATGTACTCCTATGCGACATGTCAGTCTGCATATACACATTGACATATTGACATAATTACATACCTATATGTATGGGCTAGGTCTGCATGTAGATAATATCAGCAACAAATGTTCTTATAACCGTTTATCCTGATCTTGATATGCGGCGTGTTAGGGGCGGATGGTAGAGATGAAGAATTGCGTGCATGTCCTTTTCGGTCCTGAGTTTAGTGGAGCTAGACAGCTTTCGCAGCAGTAAAACCATCTATTAAAACTCGAGAAAAAACACGGGATTCCTCGAAAATGCACGCCGCCACGGCGTACCAGTCTCTTCTTAAAAAGGGATCTATAGGGTTCCTGAAAAGGATCTATGGGGTTTAGGGTTTACTTAAAGGATCATGGGACTTAGTAACTAGGGTTATAATTAGGGGAACTATACTTATAACCCCAATTAGGGTACTTATAACCTTACTCACTAAGTCCCATGATCCTCCAAGTAGGGTTTAGGGTGTAAAAAGGGCTATACAAGTCTGCGCAAAAAGGGTTAGATATGTGTGTTGGTGTGCGTCTCTCTGCGTGATTGCAGGTATGCATGCATATTTGTTTAGGTAAAGGTACATGATTTACAGCTTTCGAAGCTTCGAAGAGTCTTCGCGTCTTCCGTGGTCCAGGCCGGCCTGGATGCCATGCGCGAGAGTGGCAAGATCCCACGTGGGCCTCCGGACCTTCCGACAGGACCGGGCGATGCCTGAGACTTTCAGACCCTAGAGTCTTTAGAGTTTAGGTCTAATATGGGGGTCTTATAGAACAGGATTTTGGGTTATATTATACACTAACTATAGTAAGGAACCCCAAGATAGTATAGGTCATTATGACGGCCCCCATGGAAGGCATTTGGATACCTTCGAGGGTCTTTGTTCAAGTTGGCTTCAGAATGAGATTGGCGATTCGGCATTTGTTCGTTGTCGTAGTCACTGGTCTCTTGTCCGTACTCACCTATGGATACCCTGAACGCTGCCAATCTTTCTGTCCAACACTGCTACTGTGCAGTCCTCATGTGCCAGGTGTCGGGTGCTTGCTGTTGCTGCATGCATTCGTCTTCGGGAGGTTTTCCACATCTGGCATTGACAGTAGCAGTCATTTACGTCGCGGGTGCGAGTCATGAAACGTTGAGAAGGGAAGGTCATGGACGGAGCTGGTGGTTACAACTACAATTTCCGATGCTTCATGATACATCTCGAATGACCGATAGCAAACCGGTCAAGGATGTGGCTTTAGGCAGGCTTGTTTTACGTATTGATCACAAAGTTTAAAGGCCAGGATTTCCGAGACCGGAGGAGAAATGGATTCAGGTCTAGCCTTTTGGACGTTTCTCACCTTTGCTGCACGACTCCGTCTGCTGTAAGCCTCCCTGCAGTCTACAGTACCCAAGTATGTACGAGGGTGAGAACCGAAAGCCGACAGCTGCTTGCACTGCCATGAACCTGACTTGTGATGAATATCATTACTTCTACTACCATGTTTATTTCGACTACTATTGCTACCCGTGAGGCACAGAGGTTATCGAGCAGAAGTGCGTGGCATACCTCATTGGCATCTCGGGCGATGAGTGGTCAAGTCGTGTTTGATCTGAAGGTCCGGCTCACATACGGGCATGTGCAGGAGTCCTTTGTGCTCCGAAAGAGTGATTGCAGTCAGATGCGAGTTCAAAGTCTCAGTTCCACATCGCCTCCTCCGTATCATTGTACTCTTTGCCCAGTCCACGCAAGTGCTGGGCCATCAGCCTTAGGGGCCTTTTAAAACAGGGTTTTAGGGTTCCTTGAAAGGGTTCCTTTAAGGACTACTCTAAGGGTTCTAGGATGTAGGCACGCACAAGTCACTGAGGCAAAGGAGGTCA